AAAACCATCTCTCTGTAATAGACAAAGACCATTACAGAAAACCACAACCAGTCAAAATGCAGAAAATGAGTGATCATAGAATACTACCCCCATTTGACATATTTATGACACAAGTTCTGCACCTACAGCTCTGGGACCGTTGAGGAAGAGGGGGTAGAAAGATTGCAAGAGCCAGAGGACCAGGAAGGCTGCTGTGAGATTATGTCTCCTACAAATGGCAGGGAAGCTTCACCAATGATAGTTCAACAATATAGCTGCCTAAACAAGATCCTAACATGTATAACACCAATAGTCATGCTCACATAGAAGGGGAACATCAATGGCCCCACCCCTAAAAAAGAACTATAGACAATGAATGTTGAGAGCAGGGAAATAATCTTCTTTAGGGATGAATCTCTTAATTGGTTATCCAATACTAAGTGGTCAGTCCTGAAATCATAACATTCAAGAAAGACTAAATGAACTGACTAAGTTGTATTTATTTACGCATATATATGTATATAAGTACATACATACATATATCAAAGAAAAAGATGCCATGAATTCAAGAGGGAGCAAGAAAGGGCATGTGAGAACAGTTAGAAAAGAGAAGGGGGAAATGATGTAATTTTAATTTTTTAAAAAAGTAAGTAAAAAGAACCTTCCAAGTTTATACTTTCCTAGACATGTGAACTTTATTTTACCATCTGAGTCACATGAGCCTCCTCCCTCCTCTTGAAGGCAATGTTTGAATTCAGAGGAAGCTGCTACACTTACTGGCTGAAGCTAGCTCTCCACTAAAGATGGTGGGTCCCAATCCCTTCTTACCTAATCCAAGTCCTCCACCACCTTCACTTAGACCATTTCCTCTTTTCTGTATTATTAGTGTTTCCTTCTCTGCTGGTTACTCCAAAAGTCTACAAACAGCCATTATTTTTCCACTCCTACAAGGGTTTCTCTTTGCCCCATTTGTACTGTCAGTTACCATTTCTCTGCCTCATTTGCAACAAAACTCCTACAAGAGTGTTTCACATAATAATACTTTGGTCCTAGTTCTTCCATTCTTCAGTGACATACACAGAATATAATAATGTTCCTATAAAGTCCCAAAACTAGTAATATAAATGAGCTAGGGAGACACCTGAGAAGCTAGCACCTACATAAAAAGCCAGCTATGGTTGTATCCTCTTGTAATCCTTCACTGGGAAGGCGGAAACAAAAAGTATCCCCAGGGCTCACTGACCTGCCAAATTAGCCTAATTGGTGAGCTACAGTCCCAATGAGAGATTCTTTCTCCAAAAATGAGGTGGGCAGTTCCTGAGGAAAGTCACCAAGATTGACCTCTGGCTTCCACATGCATGTTCACAGATGTGCACATATAGCTCTATACATGAGCATCTGCAAACACAAGCACATACACAAGACCGCAGACATGAAGTCATTGATGAACCTTATTTTTGTTTGTCAGCTGGAGTGATAGGTCTTCCACCCTCCCCCTTCAGTTAGTCCCATCATGCTTCACTCTTTACTACTTTAACAAAGCAACTTTTGGCAAGGTTAATAATGAGTTTCATTTTGCTTAAATCCAATGGTTAAATCTCATCTTGACATATTTTTTATGACAGATGACACAGCTAATCACCGGGTTGGAAGACCTGTTTTGGGTTTGTTTGTTTGTTTTTGTTTTTCCAACCTATTGGTTTCCATGGTGTGTCTTTTCCTGTCATTTTACTTGCTCCACCTCTTTTCTCAAACCATTTGACCTTGCATTGAGTGGCCCCAGGCTCATTCCTTAAATTTCATCTTTTTAAAAATCTTTATGTATTTTCTCAGTGATCTCATCCAGTCTCTTGACTTTCAGTACCTTTGCAGCTATATGGTGTCATCACATGATGACATCTGTCAATTTTATATCACCAGCTCACCCTGTTATGTGATTCCAGATTGTTGTTATCTGCCACATCTCAAACTTCACATGTCACAAACTGGACATTATTCTCTCTCACACCATAACCTCATACCTGTTTCAGTCTCTATTCTGTTCTTTCCCCTTCTCAACAAAATAGCTAGAAACAACACTGCCAGCCAAACATAGTGGCACCCCCCCCCCAGCCCCGACAATTAGAAGGCTGGAGAGCTGAAGTCCAACCTGGGCTAAATAGTGAGATAGTAGAGGCTGCTTCTATGTGTGCAGCTCTGTGGTAAAGCACCTGTCTACCATACACAAGGCCACAAGTTTGATCCTCAGCACCAAAATGAATAGCAAAACCTCCATTCATTTCTTCATTAATATTCTTCAATTTGTTCAGAGTAAAAATCTGCATCCTTCTAAGTGATCCGTAAGATTGGGATGGCCACTGGTGATCAAAGTCTCTCTACTCTCACCATCTATCAGTCTAACCCAACCTTCCTGGTAGAAGACACCACACTTAATCCCTCTGAACAGGCTGTATCCTCTGCCTGGTACACATTTCCCCCAGAGACCTACATTTCTAACTCCTTGCCTCTTTTGGTTGGTCAAAAATCACCTTTTAAATGGAGTCCATCATAACTTTTCTAAAATCACAACCCATTCTTTTCCTTCTTTTTTTTCTTTTTTTTTTTTCTGGCAAGCTGGGGGTCAGACCCTGCGCTTTGCAAATGCTAGGTGAGCAATTTAGCACTGGCCTATATCCCCAATTTTAACTCCACTGTCACCCTGCTCTCTCTTTTACCATAGCATTTACCTTGTTTATTTGGTTGTCTGTCATCCCTCCACACTAGTGTATGAGCTCCATAAGGTTGGAGACTTAGCTGTAGTACTTGCTAATGTTTTCAAGTGTTATGTTTGTTTCAGGGTCATGCATGCTCATACCATTGCATGAGTATAGAGGTCAAAGACAGCTCAAACTATTGGGCTTGGTGGCAAGTGTCCTGACTCACTGAGCAATATCTCCAACAACTCTATACTTTAATTTTAAGGGTATATGTCAAATTTTTTTCACTATGCCTGGTAACAAATGCCTGTAATCGCCAGGTGGTGGTGGTGCACGCCTTTAATTCCAGCACTCGGGAGGCAGAGTCAGGTGGATCTCTGTGAGTTCGAGACCAGCCTGGTCTACAAGAACTAGTTCCAGGACAGCCTCCAAAGCCACAGAGAAACCCTGTCTAAAAAAAAAGAAGAAGAAGAAGAAAAGAAAACAAATGCCTGTAATCCTAGAATTTGGGAGGCTGACTCAGGAGTATTGTAAATTCAAGGCCATTTTGAGCTACATAGCTAGCTCCTGATTATACAAAGAGACCCTGTAGTTTTGTTTTTAAGTAGTATCTTACTTTGTTTGTATCAATTAAGTATTAGCAGTGATTTGAATGATAAATGTCCCCCACAGACTTATGTATTTGAACACTTGGTCTATGATTGGTGATGCTGTTTAGCAGTGGTGCTTATCTGGTACACCCTTGCTGGAGGAAGTACATCACAGTGGGCAAGCTTGGAGAGTTTGTAGCCTCCTCCCAGTTCCAGTTCACTCTGCTTCCTGTGTGGTTAAAGATGTGATATCTCTGCATCCTGCTCTGGTGCTTGCTGCCATACCTACCCCACCATTATGAACACTCCCTCTGGAAATGAACCCACCCCTAAAGAACTTTCTTCCATAAGTTGTTTTTCATGGTGTTTTATCGCAGCGACAGAAAAGTAAGTAATACACAGTGTACTCATTATACAACAGGATAGGTTTTCTTCCTGGGCATGGTGGCACATGCCTTTGATCCCAGCACTTGGAAGGCAGAGACAGGTGGGTCTTTGTGAGTTCAAGGCCAAGCTAACCTACATAAGCTCCAGGCCAGCTTGGGGCTACCTAGAGAGACCCTGTCTCAAGAAAGAAACAACAACAGAACGATGGGTTTTCTTAACCTTAAGAGACTCTGAGACTCCATTTTATAAAGATTTTCTTAAATCATAGAGAAATATTATAGGTGGATCAATAAAAGACTTTCCAGCCTAAAATATTGCAGTAAAATTCTCAGAAACAAGTGTAATGGAAATAAAAGATCAGAGACCAAACAGTGATAAAATTTCTTTTAAAGAAAAGCTTGTTCGTGTATTTTTTTGATGGATGGGAGATACATTATGATATGTAGATTCTCCTGGATATACTTAAGAAATGATGTAACATTCTTATTTTAAAATGCCAATACTTATAATATGACAGAAATAATAAAGCTTACCATCATTTAAAGTTATGATGAAACACTTTAGATATGACCTTTAAAAGTACAAGAAACACAGTTTCTCAAATTTCGTTTATGAGTCAAGCAAGGAAGTCATTTTGAAGACCAATGCCCCCAAACACTCACAGGGAGCCAAGCCACCACTTTGCAGGACTCTCCTTCATGATCCATCTCTATTCCTGCCCCCATCTCTGACCTGTAAAGACAGAGGCTTCAAAGTGTTGTGTTCCTGCTGTTCGGTGATATTTTGTTTATGAGCTAATGAATAAAGCATGCCTGATGATCAGAGTGCAAAGCTAGCCACACTAGTTAACCATAGAGGCAGGCAGTGATGGCACATACCTTTAATCCCAGCAGCCACACTAGTTAGCAATAGAGGTCAGGCAATGGTGCTGCACACCTTTAGTCCCAGCACTCAGGAGACAGAGGCAGACAGATCTCTGTTAATTCAAAGCCACACTAAGCTACATGAAACTGATCCATTCTAAAAGAGAAACAGAGCTCGCATAAAGGTGATCTCAGCACTTGGGATCCCACACCTTTAATCCTAGCACTAGAGAGTAATATAAGGCGGGAGGAGACAGGAGCTCAGTGTAGTCTGCGGTTTGGTGGAGAGCAGTGCAGTCTGAAGATGCAGTCTGAGAACAGGATCACCCCTTCCGACTGAGCATTGGTAGACGTGAGAACTCTCTAGTGGCTGGCCACTTTGCTTCTCTGATCTTCAGCTTTATCTGTCTCTGGGTTTTTATTATTAAGAACAATTAGAATTCGTGTTACACTGCTGTCACTTAATGGGGTCTTCCCTCTCCTAGGAGCAGCAGCTTTCCCAGGAGAGATGACTATGGACCTCTAGGCCCTTCATGAGGATAGAGACAGAGCCCACGTAGTGCCACCCAGCCCGGGAAGGAGCAAAAGTGAACTATGCCATGGAAGACAACCTAACTAACTTCAAGCACATATTTTAATGTTATCCCAATTGGGTTTTTTTTTTTTTTTTGAGACAGAGTTATGTATATAGCCCAGGCTGCCATTGAACTTAAGATCTTCCTGTCTCACCATCACACATGCTGGGATGGTGAGCCTGCACTACCACACCTAGCCCTTTAACCTGTTGTCTTTTTAAAAAATAACCCCAGTGTGCCCTTCAGTTACTTAACAGTGATTAGCCTAATGACAAGTGTATTAGTAATCTTTTTTTCATGTCCAGGAAGTGATTTCCGAGGGTGACTTGGATCTGCATTTGACCACCAAGCCATTCATTCGTTTTCTGTTTGAGAGGAGAAAAGAAACTGAGAAATGGGTGGAGCGAAGGTTCCATCTTTACTATTTCTTTTTAAAAGTCTGTAATAGCAGCTGTCCAAACTGGATCCAGCAGGACCTTCATAGGCAGCTGGGGGCAGAAGCCCATGGGGGGAAAGAGGTGGAGCAGGAAGGAAGGAATTAGGAGGGGAGGGGAAAACCCCACAGTCCATCTTTGTCTGGCAGCAACCCTCAGAATTCCCAAGAGGCCACTGACAGTGCTGACAGGGAGAGATGGCAGCACAATATCTAGTTAGGGGTCCCAGTCCCTTCACTAGTGCATTGAATGTCATACTTGGTGCCTACTATGTGCCAAATATTGAGAGAGTCAGAGATGAATCTACCAACCAGCATTCTGGAACAGCTCCTGGTCTTGTGGGTTACTGTGGAATGTTGGGATGATTCTAAAGGTGTAGGAGTGTAATGCCGAGAGGAGGGGGGGAGAGAAATCTAGAAGGCTTTAGAAAAAGCAATTCTTCAGCTGAGTTTTATGAAATAGTTACTGGCTGACAGGAAACGGTGGGGATTTTCAAAGCAAAGGGAACAGACTTAGAAATTTGCTGGTATGTCTGTGTAAAATGGTTTTTAAAAATCAATATGCAGCGACAGATATACTTGCCCATGTAAACAGCCAGCAAACTATTTATAAAAGATTACACAATGGATTACATGTTATGGTAAATAGATAAAACTAATGTTTATCAAAAAGAAACGATTTGAATAAATTATGGTACATCCATACAACAGAAGATGTCAGACTATATATCCCAGAGATGTGATGCCCACTGAAGCAGGGATGATAATGAGAAAATTATGCTGTCGTTTATGCTTTAAAAGAGGAGTAATCTGTTTACCACAGTGTGGTGCTACCACATGGGGTAAGAACAGAGCTGATGTAAGTTGGGTGGGAGGACATTTTTTCACTGTTGAATTTCTTTTGAAACCATGTAAATGTGTTACCTGTTTGAAAACTTAGATTTAAACTTGATTCAGACTTGAAATTCAACATGCCTGGAACCTAGACTCTTTGGGACTCATTGCCTCAATCCTATCCTTTGGGGAGTTCTCTAGGACCACACTGATATTCCCCCTGCTACAGACAGAACATAATGCAAATTCCATGAGGCTCCCCTTTCTCATGTCATTGTACCAGCTTGAATACAGCAAGTGCTCCACAGTGTTTGTTCGAGCACAAGGAGGGGACAAGAGATGCACCTAGGAAAATAAATTTGAAGCAGAACATAAAAAAAGACATGTTCATGAACTTGGGACCACATATGTTTGACTTTTTATAGTTTTTATTGAGATAGAATTTAGATATTGAAATATTTTTTTCCAGTAGACAATTAATGCATTTCTGTAGATGTATGTGTCGTGGAGCTGATACCACCACAACCAAGTCTTAAAACACCAAATCCCTCTAAAAGGTCCATCATGCCATGCGTATCCTCAGGCCCTCTTGATGGTATGGGTTTTTCTAGAAGTTCCCATAAGAAGAATCTCAGGCATGCAGCCTTTTATACATGGATTCTTTCACTCAACATGTTTTGAGATCCAAGAATTACTATGTGTGTGAATGAAGAATCCTGTCCTTTACACTGTTCAATATACTCCATTGTATGGCTGTAAAATCCAGAGATGCTGAATTCAGTTAATAGGGTAGAGTAGTCAGGGGAGAGAGGGAGCCAAGATGCGTTGGGTCTCTTGTGGGGATGGTAGAAATGTTCTAGAATTAGATAATGCTGATGATTATACAACATTGCAGATATAATAAGACACCAGACTAAATACTCAAAGGGTTAAAATGGTGAATTCTGTGTTATATAAATTTTATCTGAAAATTACATTTTAAGCAAAGCACTGTAAGAGTACTTACTAAACAAATCATCTTTGGAGGCCAGCTGGCCTGGATTCAAGCTGGAATTTCAGCCTCCAGAACTCGGATAAGGGAGTCTGTCGCAATTCCTTCTGAAATCCATCTCACAGAGCTGTGCAGTAAAACCTGAGAGATAGAACTGGGGTAAGCCACTTCACTTGAGGATTGACTAACAAAGGTCTAATCAGTGTTGGCTACTTGTTCACATATGCACACCTGCCATATGCTATGCTGTTACTTGGTCCAACAGAAAGCAAACACTGTAGTCCATCAGTAAGTGATGAAACTCAACAAAAGTTAAGAAGTATACCAAGCCTAGATGTATAGACTTATAATCCCAGTTACTTGAGAAGCTGAGGCAGGAAGACCATTTGAGGCCAACATTGGCTACAGAATAAGTCTAATGAAAGACTATCATAGATATATTGAGCAACATATCAAGACGTATCAAAATGAAAAGTAAAGGCTAGGGCCTGGTACAGTGGTGCTCAGTTGTAATCACAGCTTTTAGGAGACCGAGACAGGAGGATTAGTATGAATTTGAGGCTAGCCTGGTCTACGTATTGAGTTTGAACTCAACTTGGTCTATCTAGTGAGTTCTAGGCCAGCCAGGGCTACGTAGTCCCACCTCAAAGACAAACCTAACTTGGACCTCCTTGGTTCAATCTTCTGAACTGCAAAAAAGTTAAAATAACTTGACTACTTATTGAGGGACATTCTGACTTTTTTTTTCAAAAGATACAAAGACCAAAGAAAAGGGTCCTGAATGTCCAGATCAAGGAGGCTAACAGACATGCCCCACCCCTTTTCTTTTCTACAAAGGATATTATGGAATAGAGATTAAATAGTGATATCGAACAGAATTTATTTTGTGGATTTTTTGGTTTTGCGTATGTGTGTGTGTTGCTGAGGATTGGGCTCAGGACTTCAATATACATTGAACACATGCAGTACCGCTGTTCTACATATACCCTCAGCCCCAGACCTAGAATCTGAACCCTCTATAGTCCCAGCCTTCCTTCTACATAGTG